CACCCGCTCCTCCATAAATACATTAGACTGTGTTTCGCTGCTATTCATAAGGTTTTTACTGGCCAAGTCTTTGAGAATTCCTTCTTCTGAGTCTGTCTCAGTCTGGAAGCTCCGTTGAAACCTGCCCACCATGGGTGACCCTGCTGGTATTTGAAACACTGGTGGCATAGCCTCCAGCCTCACAGTGACCCACAGGCCACCACAGGATGACAAACTTGATGTAAGCCATAGGTCACAGCCAAGAAACCTTACTGAAGCAGTTCTGTCCCATAACACGTGGGGTTGCCATGAGCCAGAATCAACTCGATAGCAGTGGGCTTGGTTTTGGTTTCTGCCGGGCCATCGGTTTTTCTTTATATGTGACCTTTCTGGCCCTGGGTTTGTAGCTCTGCCAAGATGAATTGCTAGGCCACAAGCTTGCAAAGGGATGGACAGCTTCCTATGCAAATAAGGTGCATAAAACCCTTGTGGGGATTGGTCAGTTACTAAGCATGTTAGGTGACTGTGGCCTACAGAGGGGATTGGTCAGTTTGTGGTCTTGGTGGGAGAAGTAGGCTGCCTTACAAAAGAGCCCATCTCACAGAGGTTGAGGGGACCTCACTACCATAAAGGGAAGAACTTGGAAGGGAGTGTGTCCTTTGTAACAAGGTCCCTGTGCTGAGAACCTCCTAGACCCAGGAGCGAGAAAGAACTGTAATACTGGGGACGGTGAGCGGCAGCATGGCTGTGGCGTGAGACTGCGGGAACATGAGACCAGCACATGACCGCTGTGTGCGTGGGCTTACCGGCCACGGGGCAAGGCAACTGCGCTGGAGCAGAGAGCCGGGCGCCTTCAGGCAGGAGGCTTGCGGCTGGGGCGGGGTGCCTCCAGGCACTTGATGGCAGGACTGCAGGGCTGCAGCAGTTGCCCGAGCAGGGCAGAGGCTGTGAGGAAGCCAGCCTGGCTGAGAGGAGGCTAACCCGACCAGGAAGTGCAACCTGCCCATCGGCATGCCCAGGAGGAGTTGAGGACTGTCCTGGTTGAAAGCTGCCCTGAATGAAGAACTGTCTCCTGCCTTATACCCTGTTGATCCTCAGCCTGAGTTGTATCCTGTTACTTCCCTAATAAACCCCATAATCGTGAGTATTGTCTGTGTGGCCATTGCAATGAATGGCCGAACCCAGCAGAGAAGTACTAAGTACCATGGGAGGGACAGTTGGTGTCAGTCTGACCACAGCCTCATAGGAATCAGCCTGGGGCTCAGCCCGATCCTCCTCCCTGTGGTGGATGTAGGCGGCTCTGAGGTCGCTGTTGTTGCTGTTATGTGCCGTCGAGTCAGACCCGACTCATAGAGACCCCTCTTTGGGTTTCCGAGGCAGTATCACTATGGAAGTTGATTGCCCCATCTTCCTTCCGAGGAGTGGGTTTGAACCGCCAGCCTTCTGGTTAGCAGTCAAGTGCCTTAGGCACTACGCTACCAGAGCTCCTCTGAGGTCCTTAGTGTATTACAATACAAAGCATTCTGTTTCCTTTCCACCCCTGGGAACAAAGCTTCCCACAGTCCTTGGCGCTGAGACACATTCCAGCCGAGAGGAGACGGGACATTCCTGCTAACAACAAGAAGGGGAAAGAGGCAGGAAGTACCTGGCGAGTGGGCCCTTGTTCGGTAGCTGCTAGCGCTACACTCAATGGAAGTGAGAGAAGAGGTGTGTGCTGTTACGTGACGTTATTGATTCAAAAGCTGGGGAAAACACACCCAGCCTTCAAAGCCCTGTGCAGGGCAGGGCCTCAGAGAGGACCCAGAAGGGGCCAGGCTCAGGTGTGTGGCAATGCAGGGAGGACACACAGGGACAGGGAGGGACGGCCGGGGGGCTGGGCGGGCAAGAGGCTGACACCTGGGGCAGCCTGCCAGGGTCTGATTCCAAATGCACCGCTGATTTGCTGGCCAACACCTTACTCACCCTGTCTCCTTGTATGCAAGGCGGGGCAATATCTGAGTTGTGAGGAGGCCCAGAGAGTCACACCAAGTTATAAAGGAAGAGTCTGCTGATAAGGTGTGGTGCTGGCTGACAAGTGCCCCACTGTGGCTGGGGGACAGTCAAGTGCGGCAGAGGGCTATCATGCGTCTCAACAGTGGCACAAAACTTTTTACCACCACTTTCCCAAGCCCTTGTCGCAATCCCCACTCCCTGGGGGCTCAGTGAGTGCAGAGCTAACTTTTTCAGAATTGCATTTAGCCAAACCAGCCCCAGATTGAGAGTCAGACCTGGTGTCAAGCCAGGGCCCTTCCGACGCTTCTCCAATGTTCTAAACCATGTTTTGTTTTTCCGTCTTCCAGAGAGAAGACTACATTACAACAACCCGTGGGGGCCCCCAGCCTGGCACCTTTACACTGCATGGGATGCGCTGAAAGGCAGGAGGCACATGGCTTGCAAGCTGTACGTGTTTCCCACCAAACCACACCCACTACTGTCAAGCCCATTCCGACCCACAGCGCCCCTAGAGGACAGAGTGGAACTGCCCCACAGGGTCTCAAGGCTGTTAATCTTCATGGAATTAGACTGCCTCATTTTTCTCCTTTGGAGTGGCTGGTGGGTTTGAAGGAGCTCTGGTGGCATAGTGCCTAAGGCATTTGACTGCTAACGAGACTGGCGGTTCAAACTCACTAGCCACTCCTGGGAAGGAAGACTGGCTAATCTACTTCTGTAGAGATACCGCCTTGGAAACCCAAGGAGGGGTAACTGAGTCAGAGCTGACTTGATGGAGGTGGGTGTGGTTTTTGGTGGGCTTGAACCTTTAGGCTAGCAGCCTAATGCTTAAACACTGTACCACAGATCTCCTTTTGCATGTTTCAGTGCTTCAGAATGGAAGAAAAACGTCTGCCCTTCAGTTCAAAGAACGATTATGTGTTTTGCTTTGGGCAAATATCCCGCGCCAATGCAGAACGTCAATGTCAACAAGGGGGAGGCCTGGGTGAACAAACTTGCTAGCCTCTTTGCTACTTTCCTGGCGATCTAAAATTATTCCAAAATAAGAGGTTTATTTAAACAATGCAAAGACTATCACTCACATGGGTGATGGGTCACAAGCTTTTTTGTAAGCTCACAGTCCTGGCCTTGACCGATCCCCACCCTCCAAGACGGAGACCCGCAAGGGGAAGCCAGCGGGATGTGTGGGATGCGGAGGACTGCGAACTGAGGTCTTTGAACGCCTAAGATCAATATGCTCGAACATGCCACGCTGGCCCCCAAGAGCCCACAGGGCCGTGGGGGTCCGGCAAGACTACCGGACAGCGTGACACAGGATTGAGGACAGTCCCCGCACACACGGCAGGCGCTCAGTAAACAGGTTCCAGGGACAGACACCAGAACGGAACCTAGAGGACAGGTAGGGTCGGAGGGCCAGCTTGCGTAGGTGCAGCGCCTGGGACGGGTGCTAGAGCTGTGAGGCTCATCTCCGGCCGGTGTAGGAGTTTGGGACCCTGAAGGGCTAGCGGGTGGGAAGACTAACTTCCCAGCGAAGGAAAAGGCAGGCGAGGGTGGGCACTTCTTCTGTTTTTTTTTGCAGTGGTCCTTCCCCGCCCCTCGAAGGTGGGTAGTTCTAGAAAGAGTTCTTCCGTCTCCAATACAAATAAGCAGAATATGCTTAGGACGGAAGAGTGAGGATTCCACGGCCATTAAATACCCACAATGGATCTTCACCTTCCTAGCACCCTACACTCCAGCACAGACTTTGGACACCACCCAGGTCACTCGTGGGCGCAGCGGGAGGCGAGTCCTGTCCCTCGGTGCGCTCTGCTAGTCTGCAGCAACCGACCCTCCACCTCCAAGCGGGGAACAAGCCATGTTGGTGCAAGCACCCCAAAACCAGGCCCCCCTAAAAGCCCACTTTGTCCTCACTTCCTCTGACCTTTTAAGAGGGACAAAGCTATCACCGTTGGACGTCTGCGTCTGTCTCTCCAAGCTCTTAGGCTCAGCGGTGGAGCGCGGTGCGTGGAGGAAAACAAATCAAAGACAAGGCTGCAGGTCTGTTCTGCAACCCGTCAAACGCCATAAAAGCAGCCGGACAGCCAGCACCCCACCCAGAGTGCGGCGCC